GGGAGGGGGTGTGGGGGGGGGGGCATAGAGAGTGCCGCTCAATGTAAATTAAATGCCCCGTCCTTTGAGTGGCCCGGCTTATGTAAGTGACTGCTGCTGCTGCTGTTGTTGTGTCTCTATCACTGCATGCTAGCTCCTCCATCCCTGCATCTTTCCTTCCTACAGCATCTATCTAAAAGTCCCAAATCTCGCTCTCTCTCTCACACACACACACACACACACACACACACACACACACACACACACACACACACACACACACACACACACACACCACCATCCTCCTGCACTTTTTAATTTAGCATGGTGCTAGTGTGTGTGTGTGTGTGTGTGTGTGTGTGTGTGTGTGTGTAGGTGGGGGGGTACCTGACTCCAGCATCCCTCATTCTCTGTTCCACCTTGAAAACAACACCCCGATTCATTTCATCGTCATTGTCTTTGCACGTCACATGCGATGATATCACCACATCACCTCTGATGAGCACAAAAAAAAAAAAAAAAAAAAAAGCTCATATACCGAAGGTGGCAGCTCATTGGTGTAGTTGTATTTGTCTTTCAAAATAAGGATCCGAACCCAAATCCCACTGCTCTTTTTGTCCGTGCACGTTCCCCCGCCTCCATCTGCCGCACCACCACAAGGCTTTTTGCACTGACTCCTTGACTGTGTCATAGTGCTGCTTTTTTTTAAGACAATTGGGCCTCACAATAGCGAGAGAGGAGAGATGGGGGTAGGTGGGGGAGGAGGAGGGCCAGTGATGAAATGCGACAAAGGTGGCAAAACTGGGTTGAATCCTTCAATGTTGTGCAGTGATGACACACAAGGTGGTTGTAGGGAGCCGGGGGAGGGAGGCAGAAGCGGGGGGTGGGGGGGGGGCATCTTAGCTCACTCCAACACCTCACAGTTAACACTGACAACACAACAACAAACGGAGGGACAAAAGATGTGATGACACGAGGCATTATTTCGTCCCCTCTTGGCTCATACATTGTCTGGTGACTCGATTGTATGCATGCCTCCACACAGCCGACTTGTGCGGTGCACCTCCAAACGTGCGCGCCCATCACGGTCAGAAAGAGGACACGGCCGAAGGCTGGACGTTAACGAAAGAAAGAAAGAAAAGGCTCTTACCTCCAACATTTCAGCTCCGCTCCACCCGGTCGCGTTTCATCCTCTTCCTCTCGGCCGACTCCCTCCCCTTCTCTCCCCATGGCAGCATTTTTCTGCTATCTATCTCCACGCTGGGGCTGGCTCACCTCCTGCACCTCCTCCACTTTGCTTAGTTCCTCCTGTCTGCTGCTCTCTTCCTCTGTCCCAAAATAAAGAAGAGAAGAAAAAAACACAGCAAACAATAACACACACTTCCCAATTTGTCTGCCTCTTTTCTGTTCGCTAAGTCAAGAGGCAGGTTGATGTGTGCTGTCCTCCTCCCTCCCTCTCGGGCTGATTCGATTCCATTCACATCACACTAAAGCCAACCCCCTCTTTCTCCTCCTCCACCTCCCTCTCTCTCTCCCTCTCTCTCTTACACACACACACACACACACACACACACACATGCACAAACACACAGCTTAGCCCCAGTCTCCTCCCCCCTCCTGGTCTCCTTGACAGAGAGAGAGAGAGAGACAGCAGCGGTCAGCTGGACCCCCCCCCCCCTCTTTCCAAAAAAAAAAAAAAAAAAAAGCTCTTCAACGGAAATGCGCGATTTGTGAGATGTGTATATATTGAAATGAAGGAAACGTCACTTTAAAGTGATAGCGTGCACACGCGCCGAGGTGACACGGTGATGTAATGTTGGCACATCCCGCAGCCGGCGGAGCTGCTTATTTATGCAACGATTCATTCTGTCACGTTATTAACACGTCATTTAAATCTTGACTGGCTCCACTGAAATTGTTTGAATACATGCTTGCGGATTTGCGAGCAGGATTATTTCACCTTTATAATCGTCGGGGTGGGAAGAAGCCGTCACCCTTTTAGAAGTAGGTTTTTCGCTTTTTGGAACCATACAAGGATCAAGATAAAGATGTGGATTCAAGCTTAAAAGAAAAAAAAAAAGTTCAAGTTTCTTCGTCATTATGATAATTAAATAACGGCATTATCACCAGTAGTTATGAAGGTGCTGATCTGCGCGCACAAGGGCCCATTCTAGTTTTCTGTGACATTTCTGGACAGACTAGATAAAGGCTTGAAAAAGGGGCAGAGTTGAAAATAGTGTGCGCGTGAGAATGAGACTGTTTGTTTGGAGCTACCTCTGTGTACTCCCCAAACGAAGGGGCTGACATCATTACAAACAATCAACCTGCTTGAGGGCAATGAGAGCACTGGGTCCGGACGACATATTTTCTTGGCATCCAAATTTGTAGCGGCATCTTACCTAAAAAAGAATAGATCAAAATGTAAAAACTAACACCTGTCAAGTGTAAAATGAAACATTTCATGATTATATTGGGGTGGGGGGTGTAATCAGTGTCCAACACCAACCCCCTTCTCTCCTTTAATTACTGTACGCGGTCCCACCCTGGACAGACCATATGGCTGTTGTGTGTTGGAAGGTCAGCAACGATGGTCAAGCGCAGCGTGGGGGGGTTAAAGGAGGTTGGGGGTAGGGAGGGGAGTATGTGGGAGGCTGTGTTGTTGGTGCTGTGAGTGTCATGAACAGATAAGAAACTTTTTTTTTTTTTTTAAATGAAAACGCAGGCATGTGTTGATAGGAGCCAAAAAGTTCGGAAACATTCATACCGCAGTGTGGGTTAGATCTCAACAGGAAACAAACATGCAAATAATGAATATTTAATCATAATCTTTACTATTGTTGGTTTAGCGACAAACTACAATAAAGACATATAGAGTGGATCCACAAAGTCTACACACCCCTGTTCAAATGCCAGATTTTTGTGACATTGAAAAATGAGCCCAAGATGAGTGAGTCATTTCAAGACTGTTTTTCCCAGTTTTACCCGAGTAAAGGTGAAAGCAATTACGAACATTTCCAAATAGCTGTCAGTGAGGAAAAGTCACAGCCTGTTTGAATATCTGAACTTTATTTTTCAGTCACATGATGGCAGGTGAGTGCTGGCAACAGTTTAACATGTGATCGCTTCATTCTGAAGAGAAACATCTTTACAATAGGGTGAGCATCCTTGTGTCATTTATCTGTTTCCCCGAGTGAGTTGTACAGTTTATAGGTCACAATTATGGTGAGAAAAGGTTTGCTATGAATTATCTTGGTTTCATCTTTTATTACCAAACCTGACATTTGAACACGGAAGTGCAGTGTCAATCACAATTGAGAAGTGTCTGTGTTTCCATTCAGTTCTTGGATTGGAGTTGATTCGATTATGAGAATTCAACTGAGTGGTTTTTCCTGAGATCTTAATCGCCAATAGTTTAAAATAAAATGGTTGATTATTTACTAATCCTGGATGGATCTCAAAAGAACCAGAATATAATCTAGCAGGTGACTGAAATGAAAGACACAATACATTTATTGGAAAAGATCAGTACCCCCCCCCCCCAAAATAATCAGAAGCGTCTGCCGAGGCCCAAAAAAACTTGACGCGAGTCTCAGCCCTCCAGAGGCATTCTTATTAAAGGAACACTTCAAACCTTCAAAGCGATATGAGGATATTTAATTGGATAAAGATAATGTCGAACTGCGAACGAAACGTTAATTTGGTTTCAGACAACAGGGTCTTTGCTAACCATGAATTCACTCGAGGAAATTATGACACCAAAATACAAATCAGACGAAAATTGATACTAATAGGTGATGAGTCAGGTGACTTTTTACCTGTTCGCTGCTGTTGAATTTGACTCCAATGTTCCACTTAAAAGTCACGCAAACCGCATTTTGTATCGTTCGTACTTTGGCAAATATTCAAACACGCTATACTAAGTACAATACTGCCACCTGGGAGCGATTAACCAATACACGACGCTGAAATCAAGACTCCAGTAGAGGTACTGCCACCTGGTGGTCACTTGTCACATTGCGATTCCAAACAACGTGATTGATTTCATTTATTCTGCATAAATATCACGCAAACTCAACAATTTAAATGACGACTTATTTCATTTTTTCTTTCACAGATATCGAAATGAAAACAACTGTCAAAAATAAGAAATTCAGTTTAAAATGGCAAAAGACGTGACTTTCAACCAGACTTTCGTTTCCATCCTTCAACTGTGCTCCACTTGGACAGGCAGGACTGAAATTATTTCTAAAACGCCACATCGTTTCTGACACGCATAAAGCACGCACATAAAGCAACATCTCACGTCTCTTCTCCTAGTGTGCAGTATGTTAAAAAAAACAAAACAAAACAAAACAAATAGACAACTGTACACCAAATGTACATGAATCTTTGACAGTTCAACATGGCTTGTATGTTAGGTATACAATCAAATCCGGTATGGAGTCCCAAAATATGGAAGTGACTTATTTCATTGTATATTGAACACAGGAAAAGATGGAAATCATCAGCATTGGAGATGCATAAAACTCATCAATCTAAGGAAACTGATTGTTTTACAGTTATTGAGACATCCCATTTTGACAATAGTGGTGCCTTAAAATTCAGAAAATTCATTCTTCTGTCAGTGTTTCATAGCATTTGCGACCCATCTGACGTTTGCTGACTCCGATCATGAGTCCAGTGTAACAAATTTCATTACCAACACGAGGGATCGTTGAGCGGCATCAGAATTATCACTAAAACACATGAGCATCATTAAAAGAACAATTATGCCAGGGGGATACTTACTACACGACATAAGGTGTAGAGGCGATTTGGGCCCTGAACAAATGGTTCAAAAAGTTCGAAAAAGCTCTCGGGATTCTTGTTCATGAACTCTGGTTTTCTTGGCAACAAACGCAGGAGAAACAACAATAATGTAACTGTTGTACTTTCAACAAATGAGCCTCATGAGAAGGACGAATATTCAACTGATTAAAACGTTTCATTTTGGAAGGAGGTGCGGTGGGGGGGCAATGTGGATGTCCCTACTGAAATCCACTCTGGGGGTTTATATCATTATCTCGAAATACCCCCACATTAGATGTTACGCATGTTTGCAATTTGCCCAACACTATTTTCTACCTTTTATAAATTGCACATTATTTTGGTGAAGTCGATCATGTACCCAACAGAGGGAGTGTTGTTAAGTTTTGCTGATGTCATTGTTCAAATAGACTCTTCTAGAGTCCCAATATACAATATTGAACAGATATTCACAATAAAAGCTGACACAGGGTTTTTTTTTCAGCTCGTGCCGGGTTGGAGAGAGAAAAAAAAAAAAAAGCTTCTGTATTGTGAAACCATCGTGATCCCAGCTTGATGTCTGCTGTCCAAATGGTCCGAGGAGGCTTCACCACTTCCCCCTCTTGCTCCAGTCCTTGGGCGTGAAATGAAGACATTTTGGATCAATGCGCGTGTGTCTCTTCTGCATGGCTCTTTCGTGTCCATCCACGATGTCTTCGGACAGCGTCAAGATGTACTGGCCCTTCATTAGAAGGAACAAAAATACAACAAAAAGGAGTCATTTAATAGTCCGCACAGAAAAATAGGGACCAAACCGGACACGCTGAGTAATTACATCATCGAGAGGGTGAGCACAAGAGCTGAAAGATTTGAAGCTGGTGAAAAAGTTCACCTCAATAAAGGCACAAAGTCATCAGAGGAATGTGTTTGCAGTTGAAAACCAAAAGTGATTTAGGAATTTTCAATTATGTTATGGCCATTTGCAACGCGATAGGATTTTAAAAAGCCAACTGGAACGAACCCCATATTTTAAGATGACTGCTTTAAACTTTTTACATGGTCCTTCCTTCAATCGATTGATCACTCACCTTATAATAGTTGATCAGGTTGAGGTACTGCAGGGTTGAAATGACATCTTCTTTCTTGACACTTGTGATCTCACTGATCTCACTGAGGGGAGACAAACAAGAAAAACAAAAACAAAAAAAAAAGCCACTTGTGAAACCGTCCTCGACAACGTGAACCACATTCCATCGCTCATTTACTTGATGGTGATCTGTGGCCTCTCGCCATTGTCCGGTTTAAGGTCCATGAGAATCTCTAGGATGGTCTGCGACCAATAAGAGCGATAAGACAACAGGCCGAGGTCCGAGAGGGGCTTCTCGGGCGTGCCCGTCTTTCCTTCCACCTTGGACAGCTCGTAACCTGAATGACAAGACGATGAGGTGAGCGATTGGATCGCGGGACCGTCAACCCCCTTCGACGTGCACTCACTGAACTCGATGAGTAGCTTCCCGTAACCTCTTCGCTGATAAGGAGGCAATGTCAGGATACAGGCCACATTATAATCCTCAGTTGACTCTTTTTCCTGAAATAATAAAAGCGGAAATAATATTCGGACCTCGTCCGTGTAGTTGCAACGGGGTGGGGGGGACGCGCAAACAGACGTGTACCTTGGAGAAGTATCCCACTATGTGGAAGCCTTTGGAGTCGTACTCCGTCATCACATAGAAGAGGAAAGGGTCCGTGTCATAGTAGAGGGTTTTGTGGTCCAGGAAACACTTTGCAAGTAAACACAGGTTCTGGGAATAATTCTTTAGCCACCCCCCCAAAAAAAAGAGATATTTATTGAATCAGCAGCAATGCCAAAGCCATAAACACAGTTGAGGGGACGAAAATGAAACGTCCAAACTAACTTTGTTTTTTCTGCCATCAATCTCAAAGAATGAGATGGTTCCTTTGCGGTAGATCTCGTTGCCTGGAGGATGTCTGAGGTTACATTTTGTCTATTCAAAGACAGAAGGAACAAAAATCAGACTAACTAGCAAGGGGGGGGGGGGGGGCGACCGGTTTTGTAAAGAGGTCTCGGTTTACCAAATGTCTCTGTAGACACTTGAGACTTTTGAGGTATTTGAGGCAGAATTCACAGAGGTAGAGGATGGGCAGCGA